CGTTAAAAACACTATTTTAGAATAATTATTCATGAGTAATAATGATATTCATTTAGTAGGTAACGTCAATAACTGTCATTTCCTGCCAGCACAGAAATCTTGCGCTCAGAACCATAGATATTAAATTATAGACTACGTAACCGGGATTGGAAACTGATGACGTCAGGTGTACAGACTGTGTGATTATTAATGCATGAAATTGCATGAATTTGCATCAAATGGTGAAAATCATGAAGAATTGTTATGTTTGATGAGCCATATTAATAATATACTGTGATGTAGCTGGTTCTAAGTAGCTTAATCGCATAAAGAAAATACCAGAGATCACGATGGTACCTTTCTCTTCGTGTCTCTATGCTTAGTTCGCTCGGGAGAGGTACAACAGATCGGCCGCTTTTTGGCGTTATTTTGGTGGATTTCTGCTCTCAGTAATATGGCAGGCAGAACTAACCAGTCTATTCTCATGTAGCATGGCCTTGTGCATAGTTTTAATCATAAAATGAAACTGGGGTAGCTAAAGCTTGTTTGCAGGAGGGAGAATAAGACATTATCTCTTGTCACGGGGAGCGCACTTGCTTTAAACACCTGTTTTTACACAGCTAAAACATTTTATTTTTGTATCAAAGAAAAATATAAACATGTGCGTATATTATAAGAGCTCAAGTACAGGTGAAATAGCTTGTGCGACTTCACTAGAGACCATTCTTTCCAGCCATGTCAGGCATTTTCGTCCGCCTCTCACTGTCACAGAGACTGTACCTGAATAGTTACATTGATTTGAATGGAATCACGTGATCTGTTTCCAATCCCGGTTACGTAGTCTATAATATCTATGCTGTCACAGAGACTGTACCTGAATAGTTACATTGATTTGAATGGGATCACGTGATCTGTTTCCAATCCCGGTTACGTAGTCTATAATATCTATGTCAGCATAGATACTACAGTGCTTTGCAGGTTGCTTGATCCTGCAAACTCGTTAATCACGTGACTCTCACCATACTAGTAATACATGTCACGTGAGCAGAAACTGGGTCAAGCAACCTGCGAAGCACTGTACATACACACATGGATATGAAACAGGATGCGCTCGATCCTTGGCACCGGAAGTGATGTATTGTGACGTTTACACTACACGTGTATAAGCATGGCACAAGCAAAATAGTGAAGAAATCCAGTTGAATTACTTACTAAAGCTCAGGTCTACGACTATATAAGAGTTGCAACCAATATTCTAGTTCTAAAAAGTGAAGATATACTATTACAAGAAAGAATGCACTGTGCTAAGTACTAAAAAAATTATTATTTAAATTATTATCATTATAACTGTTGATGATTATTCTATTCTTCAGTGACCCAATAGATTGATTATTATTATGAGTCCTTCAACAAATTTTAACTATAAAAATAGCAATAAAAACATTGACAACATTTATTATAAGCCGCACTTACTGTATCACCATACAGTACATACTGTAATGTACATCATCTCTATCTTGATAGTTCTCTGTGGTAGCATAAATATAAAGCTTTACAATCATGTAACAATGTCTCATCAATGCCACTGAAATCCTGCTTGTGTTTCTTGGTAAATAACCTATTCTTTCACTACTCAGTTCTCACTAAAAATTAAACCACACCCTTTGAAACACTTGCAAAAAATATATTATTACTTTTGAAACATAGCATCTAGAAAAATGAAACCATAAACAGTCTATATAAGAGGCCTTAATGAATACACTCAAAGTAGTAACTTGTTCATACCTGGTGCAGAAGTCTCAAAAAGGTGGTTACAAAATTAATATTAAAAAAACTAGTTTTTGGCTATTATCTCAGTCATTTCTCATTACATTGACACGAGAATAGTTTCAGTCCATGTAACAAGCAATACACTATTATGATTCCAAAACTTACTAGCTAACTCCGTTCGAGAGTCTAGAAAAGGTGGTTACAAATAAAAATGGAGGTCTTCCAATTTTGTCATGTAAACATGAGGCCTGTTGACAAAATGAAATGAGAATATATTTATTAGGTCTACTGAACAAAACTGTGACAAAAACACCTATATACCTTCTTTCACAAAAATAAGTGAGTCAAGAAAATTCTTGAAAACATAGACAGAGAGAAAAGCGCCAAGGATAGAGCTATGCTGGTTATGACGTTTACAGGTGAACTTCAAAGAGTTAATTGGATACCGACTTCCTGTTTCATATCCATGTGTGTATGTAGTATCTATGATGTCAGAACAAAAGTGATGACCGTGTGCGTCCTGACTCTCCGTTTTTCGCGAGGGTCAGGCCCCGCCTGACTAGCTGTTCCCCCACGGGTGTTTCAAATGAATTATTCTTGGACATTTAGTTTGCGCAGAGAAATTTTGAAATTTTATGGTTGCCATGGTGACACTGTTCATAACAACCTTCTAAATTGATTTTTTACTGTCTTGTGGTGGAGCTACAGGGTCAAAGCGGAGTCTATTTGTTTTAGCAAAACCAGAGCTTCAAGTAGCTCTTTGTTCCATGTTACTACGACTTTCTGGTCAAAAGTTATGGATCATAAAGGGTGGAACTTACACATGAGTCTTTTAGCTAACTGAAGGTTTTCTCTGAAGTAAGGAACTACTCATAAGGTAGCCTTATGTAACCCCTTTTCAAGTAGACTGTTGCTGTACTGCCACGTTTTTGTCTGTTACCATACCAGAGCAAACAGTAT